TCTACCCAGCAGAGGAAAAAAACTCATTGGAACGAGCAACATTTTGGTAGGAGGTAAAAGTTGTTTTAATAGGCCTACCAACCAGCCCCTTTTATTGCTGTGCGCTCAATAAACATGCTATGGCGGATCCCATGCCAGCCACGATAGAATCAGGTAAATCCCACTATTTATAGTAGTGCGATTTGAATACCCACTCGATGCATGAATCTGCCATAATCACCCAGCATGCAAAGAAAGTAGTGTCCGATAGCCCGGGGCTAGTGGATTTTGCTATCAGGCTAGTGAGTTCTGTTATTAACTTGCCTGATGGGAAGGTGAAGTTTTTTGAGGAATTCAAATTACAGAAGTACTGTCAAATCAATCTGCTCATCAAAACATTTTTGGGCCTAGTTGAAATGATGTTTGGGCTAGTAAATGTTAGCTTCAGCTGTAAAAATGACTTTCTTTGCACCCTGTCTCCATACTGATAGGAATCTAAGCAAGTGCAAACTCTGCCGCCATGTTTGTGCAATATGCACGAAGCACGATGGACTAAAGAGCCACCCACCCGACAAAGGCTTCTATTGTCTTGACTCAGGGAGGCTCCCTGGTCTTGATCAATGATCACTGAAGCGTGAACGAAAATTCACAAGTCGTGTTGAAAATACACATGGTTGAGTTTGAAATATGACTCGGTAAGTGGCAAAATGCCCTGAGTATTGGTTTAGGCATTCAAGCTTGTAAAAAGTAGCAATATTGGAAAATTTGTCTGGTGTATAGTTTTATTCATAGCACCGAGTTGAAAATTGCATGGTTCTACTATGTAATTTGACGAAGCGAGTTGAAAATACACAGCGAACAAGGTCAAATAGAAGAGTTGAGTTTAAAAGCTAAGGGACGGGAGCATAAAAACGTTTTCTTCTAAAGGAAGAGTGTAAAATTTTGAATTCAGCTATAATTTTTCAAGTACCGAGGTTAGAGATTTAAAAGATGCATTTAACATTGAAACCATGAATTTTGGCAGGGATCGTACGCCATAAGCCTGACTTTGTCTCTTCCCCCTGGTGTGCACCAAGTATGATTTCTAATAGGAATGTCAAACTGTGTTCCATGCAATTCTGTGTTTGTCCTTGTTTTCTTGAAAACAATGCATAATGAAACAACTATTAGAATTGGTTTTTGTGATATTTGGAATAATCAAGGTCTCAGTAAGTGTTATCAGCCTCAGCCTTCGGCTCAGCTGATGTCAGTTAGTCAATCCTCCCCCTTGATTATTTCTGGATATCACAAAACCTCATCCCACACCATTTCTTGTTTAACACTAACAATGTGAACTAAGACTGTGGTGGCACAGCCCCTGTATATTAATTTGTAAACACTCAGAATCTTACATTTCAGTGGGTAATTAAGGCAGCAGTGACAGTTAAAAGTAATTAAGTGAACTTCATTGATTCCTGATTTTCCTTTCAGTACTAGGCAGACATCTTAGGAGCACTATGCAATATTGTGCAGGTTAGTGACACTGGGGTTGAGGGGTTTGTACCAGAAAATAGAAGAAAAGTCAATGTTACTGAGAATTTGTAATTACATGTAACAACAAGTGCTGAAAAGAAAATAGAATACCTTATTATTTATTTGATAAAGTGCTCAACCTCAAGTAACTGCCCACCTTCAATAACCCTCCACCTTATAGGAAGAAAAAAAAAGAATTATCTCCTAACCTCGAAAAAGTGCCTGACCCATACCAGCTAGATTGAAAAAGACTAAGTTCTACTAAATTAAGAGTCCAAGTTTTCTTAGTACAGTATTTTAAAGAAATTTTCAATGAACAGTTAAAAATCTGCTTTGGAACTCAAACAAAATTACTCTATCTCCAACAAAATTACTTTTGGTGAAAACAGTGAGAATTCATTAAATACCCAGCCCAAATACACGTATTTAAGTGACCAACTTGAATAATAGCCCACTCTCAAGGTGCAAAACTTTAGTGAGCACCCAGGCAAGGCACTTAATCAAATAAATATGGTATTTTGTTTTGGGACCTCTTCAATGGAGTGGTACATGCAGTTGCGTTTTCCAGTAGGTGTAGTGCTTGATTTATAAACACACAAGCTGTTTTATAAAAACTGCATTGACAAAATAGATTTGCAATTATTGAGAATCTATTTTATACCAATACAGCATTACATTTCATTTCACCCTTCATTAATTCGGCTTTGCTTTTTCAAAAACACTGTATCGCAGCTCCAGGTTTTGTCCAAATTACCTTTAGTTAAAATTTTTTGTGCATTTAAGATAGACAATGATATATAGATTTAGCCAGGGCTAAAAGCGAAGCTCCCGTTAATAAATTCATAATTTAAATCAAACAATAAACTTGTAATCCACAGATCAGGGCACATTCATTTGACTTTTGAGGCAAAGGCTGAGTGATTTTAGAGAAAAATCAGAATTTGACCGTCCAAGAGTGAAACAAATCAATCATGTTCGATCACAGTAGATTAGGCCTGGAAAACAAATAGACCTATTCGTGTATTGTATTTGCATTAGCTGTAGCATCATAATGTGGCATTCGCCAGTCTCTCCAACATTGCTCCGTTAGAGAGACTATGGATAATTGGACAACGCCGAAATATAATTTTAAGAAACACATGCGCCACGATAGTCCTTGGTGGCAGCCAATTTACACGTTGCATTCCTCTGTCTAAAAGAGAGGCCAAAATAAAAATCAGGCCGTATTTTTGGTGTTCGACAAGTTTAGTTTACGAGTAAATCTTGGCGACGAATCTGGTGGCGTGTAAACCAGCCTTTTAAACATACTTTTTCTCATCACATCTCAGGTAAACAGTACACAGACCTCGGACAGAAGTTGTTCTTTTTTGCCCTATTTAAACCTATAACTCTGCAGTTTTTCACAATTTTGCACAAGAATTTGCACTCATTCAATATCCACGACGATCAATCCTTTGCACAACAAATTATAGCATTGAATTATAAAACGCTTTCTGTTAGAAAAATCTGGTCCTATGTGATATGCAGGGTAATAATTATGGGCTTTTAATGAAAATGATAAAAAAAGGAGCAACTACATAATACAGGGCCACTTTAGTAAGAGCGTTAGATGTTAGCAGCTCGCTGGCTCGCCAGTCGCTTTCAGTGATTGAAGAACGAGAAAGGTATATGACTTAGTGGCTCGGCGGCTCGCCGGCTCGCCAGTCGCTTTCAGTGAATAAAGAACGAGAAAGGTATATGATTTAGTGGCTCGCCGGCTCGCCAGTCGCTTTCAGTGAATAAAGAACGTGAAAGGTATATGATTTAGTGGCTCGGCGGCTCGCCGGCTCGCCAGTCGCTTTCAGTGAATGAAGAACGAGAAAGGTATATGATTTAGTGGCTCGGCGGCTCGCTGGCTCGCCAGTCGCTTTCAGTGAATAAAGAAGGTGAAAGGTATATGATTTAGTGGCTCGGTGGCTCGCCGGCTCGCCAGTCGCTTTCAGTGAATGAAGAACGAGAAAGGTATATGATTTAGTGGCTCGGCGGCTCGCCGGCTTGCCAGTCGCTTTCAGTGAATGAAGAACGTGAAAGGTATATGATTTAGTGGCTCGGTGGCTCGCCGGCTCGCCAGTCGCTTTCAGTGAATGAAGAACGAGAAAGGTATATGATTTAGTGGCTCGGCGGCTCGCCGGCTTGCCAGTCGCTTTCAGTGAATGAAGAACGAGAAAGGTATATGATTTAGTGGCTCAGCGGCTCGGCGGCTCGCCAGTCACTTTCAGTGAATAAAGAACGTGAAAGGTATATGATTTAGTGGCTCAACGGCTCGCCGGCTCCCCAGTCGCTTTCAGTGAATAAAGAACGTGAAAGGTATAGATTTAGTGGCTCGCCGGTTCGCCAGTCGCTTTCAGTGAATAAAGAACGAGAAAGGTACATGATTTAGTGCCTTGGCGGCTCGCCGGCTCACTAGTCGGCGATCAAGGAATGTTTTGGCGATAAATTTCGAGTTAGAAGTATTCTACAGAGAAAATAGAAGGGATGTGGACCATTAGTTTCAAAACCTGAGAGCTAAAATCGAGGTAGAGAATTTTGCTCCAGCTTGTCTGCTGTGTTAATATGTTCTTCAAATGTGATGAAATGACTTCAAGTACCGCCTGTTTTCGTCAAAACTTGCTTATATTCCTGAAATCTATCTTTCACTGCTCCATTGCTTGAGACGACGCTTTGTTCAAACAATCTAAAGCCAAATGGTTAAAATATATTATTTTGCGCCAATTATAGTGTTTAGGATTCAGTGGTGTAGTGGTTAAGCCATGTGGCTTGTAGCTATGACATTTTGAGAGGTGCTGGTTCGAGGCCCACTGTCGCTGTTCATATTGGGTGTGTTGTTTTGTTTTTTTCCTATTATTTGTTTTTGTATTTGTTGTTATTTTAGCCTTTTCATGACAGCGAGCCATGCAGGCCATTGAAAACTCATTAAAAAAAAAAAGAAAACAGTAATACGACATTGACTGAAAGGTAACCGTTGTGAACAAGTGTGTAACCCTAAAAAGCGCTCAACCCTAACCCTAATCTTAACCCTAATGAATGCTCAACTCTAATCTGTAAAATTGCAGGTTTTACTTGTTTTATCTTTATTTTTGCCAATGGGTGGCATGTCTCGCTGGCTCGCAGTTTGGGAGGACCCGGAGAAATGTAAAGAACGACATGTAGTTAGAAAACATTAAAGATATTTATTGACAAGTAAAAGACCGACGGTACAATCTTTCTTTGATGAATAAAAACCACAATATTGTATAAAAGGAGAATAAAAGTTGTTTGATTGATGCACGAAACTAGTTACAGTACTAAGACGTTCAACACTGTGATTGTGCTGAGTGTAATGGCGTTCGATGATATAAAGCTACGGCAGCCTTAATAAATTGTCATTAGAGAAAGAAATAAACACTGTTCTTTAATTAGAATGGATAAGTCCTTAATGTTCTTGGCGCGTGAAAAAGTTGCGCAAACAATAGGCGTATGTGAAGTTCGATTTATGCAATGTCCGCGCGTGTGATATGTCCAGCATTGACAAGTGCAGTTCTAATATTCTCTGTGATAAGCCTGTTTACTGGCTCGGAAATTCGTTCTCCATATTCTTCTCGCGTGCATGGAGCATCCGCCGGCCAATGGACAATTTCATCGGTTGTTTTCTTAATAAAAACGCGAACCTTCTGGGCGCTTCGAGGGACGCGGATTTCTTCAACATGGCCATACCGTTTAAGTGTTTGGGTGCAGTGATCATATTCTGGCTTCTGAACACTTCTCAAAGAGCGGGGGCTGAACTTCTTGAAGGCTTGATAAGTAACCAGTCGTCCTGGAAAACGTATGATGGCAGTAGAGATGTCGATCTCCGTTGGCTGTGTCCTCGGTTTCTCTGTAGCAGGCTCAACAATAGCTTTAACGAATTCAGCAAACATTTCTTTCTGTGCATGTAGATATTCGACGTAATCCACGGCTTTTTTGTAGCAATCTTCAGTAATTTGCTCTGGTGGACTATGTGTTTCATCCTCCTCCAACATGGCAGTGAGGAAGTAGCTAATGGTACTCAATGCCACAGCAACTCTTGTGACAAGATCAGTTCCTTTAGATTTGGGTGGTACTTCTCCGTTTTCGATCGCAGTGTTGACCGCGTTCACATGATGGGTTTTAAGGCGCTTATGTAGCTTTGCGGCGTCAGGATCCAATGTATAGGATCTGGTGACGTTCTTGTGGGCGGCGTAGATTGCTGCGAAGAGTGGCACGAAATCTTTTAGGGGAAGGTCTGCTAGATAATGTGCTCCTTCTTCTTCTTGTTCCGGTGTCGGCTTTCGCACGTTTGGAACAGTAATTAAGAAGCGATCTAGAAGACCGTGGACCCTTTGTCCATTCTAAAAATAAGAATCGCTGCATTTTGGATCTGGGTTGATCCAAGAACGGAGAACGCGGTGTTTGATTCAATTTCTCGCGTAGCCTCTGTCGCGAAATGGTAGGATGCAGATTCCCCATTCCATAGTTTGCAGAGCAGCTGTACGTCACCAGTGGCGTTCTCTTCGTCGTTTTTGAGGAGTTTGTTCAAAACATCAAATATTTCGGGGGAGACAACAAAGGCTTTACCTTGCTTGGAAATGGTTTTCACAAGTCCGGACGATGTTGTGGCGCTGACAAGGGTCTCCTTTGAGATGGTGTCTGTCTCGAAGTGTGGCCAGCACTGTCTCTATGGCAGGTGATTTTCCCGTTCCTGGATGACCAACGGACATGGTGTATAGGTTTAGTGGCTGAATGTGATTTCCATTTAGGAAGTGGGCGTCAGTATTTCCAAGGAGAAATGAGGTGGCTGTCATCAACGATGGCACCAGATAACCAATGGAGCTGCCGACGGACTTAGCTTTTGCTTCTAAGAACTGGAAAACAGTCTTAGGAAATAGCTGGTCATAATTGTAATGTATTCCTGAAACTCGATGATGAAATGAAGCCCAGGTAGCTTCGTTTTGACGAGAAAGATGCAAGATAGGATTTGACATTGTGAACTAGTTGGCGTTAACACACGAATGAGCAGAAAGAGCAACGCGTTGAGATTAGGATGAAACTTACCAACAAAACTTTTTGTTTGAAAACAAAAGAAATCGGCGAGTGACGCCGTTTGAAGTGAGCGATTTAATTAGTATGTTTGTGAAATTTTTAGTTCATTGAATATGAACCAATCTAAAGGTGAGACTTTTTGTCATATATTGAAAGGAGGGAAGCATTGGTTGAAACTTGATGAATGGAAGTTTCTAATTATTATTTTAATTTATTGATAAAGAAAGTTACATAGGCCAAGTTAACTGAAATTTCCAAGATAAATTGAAGTAGCGTGAAGACGGAAATGTTGTGGTGTGGAAGCAATGGAAAAGTATATCGAACTATTAGTGTTCAGGTTGGTTGTAGTGGAAACACGAAAGAAGTTGCTACTCAGTATTCAAGTGGAAAGGGAAGCTATCAGCGAAAAATAGGTGGTACTTCGCACTGGACGTATGATGAGCTGAAAGACAGAGTTCTCTGCAATAGAGAAACTTTAATTGGATGGTTAATGAATGAAGGAGTGATCGCCTCCAAACGCGCCTGCCCCGTTTGTGGTGAAAACATGGAGCTGGTAGAATGTACGGACCGATCAGACGGTTACAAGTGGGAGTGCAGAAAGCGAGCGAATAACAAGCGCCATAAAAGCACAGTCAGCATCCGGAAAGGAAGTTGGTTTGAACAGAGTAATCTTACCCTGGAAGAGATTATTAAGTTCACCTACTGGTGGTCGGAGGGACTAACGCAAGAGCAAATAAGGAAACAGCTCCACATTAATGCTAACACAGCTGTCGACTGGGATATGTTTTGCAGAGAAACATGTGAAGTGACCATGCAGAAAAAAAGTGAAAAGATTGGTGGTGAGGGGAAAGTGGTTCAAATTGATGATAGCAAGGTGGAAAAGCGGAAATACCATCGAGGGCACAGAGTTGAAGGACAATGAGTATTTGGCGGTATAGAAGAAGATTCAAGGAGATGTTTTTTGGTGGCAGTGGAAGATAGGAGCGAGGCAACACTTTTGCCTATCATAAAAGACTGGATCGAACCGGGAACATTAGTTGTCTCCGACTGCTGGAAGTCATACCACAACTTAAATAAACATGGATATTCACATCAAACCGTGAACCATTCAAAGGAGTTCGTAAATAAAGACGGGTATAATACTAACAAAATGGAAGGTCACTGGCGGCACATGAAAGTGAGTTTGCCTGTATTCGGCACTCGCAAGGACATGTACTCTTCCTATCTTGCCGAGTTTATTTGGCGTCATGTAAACAAAGAAAAAGACTTGTTCGCCACATTTTTAAATGATGTAAAAACTCTATACAATCCGAATTAAGTTAAGGTCGGAAAAATAGGCATACATAAAATACATGTCTCATTGGCATGCATTTTTCATTTTTTTGGTTTCTTAGTTGAGCTTGAACCGAAGTGTTTTTCATGAACGTTTGAGAAAGTTGCGGAATCACCTTTTGTTTTGTAGTTATGTTTTGAAAAGTGGTTTCTCAGTTGAGTTACCGAAGTGTTTATTCCTGAAATGAAAGTTAGAGAAAGTCGGGTTTATTTCAGTTTTGAGCTGTAGTCTGTGAGACACCCGAAAAATGTTTTGTTCAAGAAATCTGTATGGTTGTGATAATCATTTTGAAATGATGTTAATGACTCTAGAGATTAGTGCTATAAAACTTTGAGTGATTGTTAGAACATGGAGGTTGTGTGTTTTTGTTTTTTATTTATTTATTTCTGCTACTTTGGCATGCACGCCCGTAGTTCGCGAGTGAAATGTTATCGTTAAAATAATTAAAAATGTTGAAAGTTCTGTAAACTTGCGAACTCACCCACCAAGGCAAGATTTTCAAATACCCGAAAGTTATTATGCATACAATTTTGCGGGTCTCGCTGTATCCGTGCTTTATGAATGATATTATAAAGGATATTGTAAGCATAATTAACTAGCTGAGAAGATGAGACACAACTGGACTATTATACAAGGTATTCTCTTCTTTTATTGCTACCGCAGAAAATTTGTCGAACCATCGGATACGTCTCAGAAACGTATATTTATAAAACGTAAACGCATGACGATAGGTTTTTATATGAGTTACAAGTGCTCACATGCATGATCAAAACAATCAAAGAAACTTCGCTAGTGAGACCAAGGAATCTACTGGCGAGCCGACGAGCCATTGAGCCATTTGAATAATATACCTTGGAATGGACTTACGAGCCCTCGAGCCGTTTGAATAATATACCTGGGAATCGACTGACGAGCGAACGAGCCATTTGAATAATATACCTTGGAATCGACTGGCGAGCTAACGAGCCATTTGAATAATATACCTTGGAATCGACTGGCGAGCCAACGAGCCATTTGAATAATATACCTTGGAATCGACTGCCGAGCCAACGAGCCATTTGAATAATATACCTTGGGAATCGACTGACGAGCCAACGAGCCATTTCGACTGACGAGCCAACGAGCCATTTGAATAATACCTTGGAATCAACTGCCGAGCCAACGAGCCACTTCAATTAGAATAGTTGGAAAAGTGGCCCTGTATTCTGTAGTTAAGCCAAAAAAAATTCCCAAAATCACTTTTTGGCCAGCCGGGCGGGTTCTCACTTTTGACAGGCACCATATTTGCAGTGCGATTAATAGAGATACCATTTACGCTTCAACATGATAGAGAAATTGTTATGTTTAGGTTTTATTTCCCTTTATTCATTAAACTGTGTATGATTTTGTTATGTGTAATCTTTAAAAGCGAGTGATATTTATGCGCGGCGTTTTGAGTATTCCTGTATGCAATGTTTATGTTCGACTGGAAACAACCGGTGCAGCGATGAAAATTGCGAGCCGGACTACTAACAATCAATAAAATAAGTTTAATTCGGTGAAACATGTACAGAGACAATAATTTTCATTCACGAAGAGAAGTATTGAGAGCAAAGTGTCTCAGAAAATCATAAGTCAGGCAAGCATAAGCTTATTTATGTTTTAAGCCGGCTTCCCGGTGTTCGCTCTTTTTCAAGATGAACTCGAGGCAAGAAAATCGCTCAGAGCTTTCAGTTTACAGCCAAAATCATAACTAAATAATCTTCAGCACCTGTTCTTTGAATTTGCGGGTCAAAAAATGTCTAAAGGCTTTTTAAACCTGATACTATTGTAGGTTAGATCATTGCTTGTGTTTTAACTCAAGCCGCATGAACCATACGCTCGACTTCAGGAAACCGAAAAAAAAACCACATCAAAAAAATAATGGCTCAGGCTTACCAGTCGAGATGCTGCTTCTGAAGATCATCAAGTGTTCCAGAATCCCTTGAGACTTTTCAACCCTCTTACGCCTCAAGCAAGGGCAAGTGAGTAAGCTCATTTTTGAAAACGATGCCATCCGAAATCGGATTTCCGATGACTTTGACAAGCGGTGCATTTGTCAACAACAAGCGCAATAAACAAACCAGCCACGAAATTACAGAACAATCTTGATAACAGCTGTATTTCATTTTGTACACCAAGTAGAAAAAGACAGTTTAAAACATCACAAGATGACACAAAACTCTCTCAGCTCCAGCTATCAGTAAGCAAGTTTCCAGACGCTGCATAAATTTTCCGCACAAACTCACCTGTCAAATTTTGACCAATCAGAACATAAAAATTGGATGTAGAGCGTGATCAACGCGTAACAGTGAGAGAAGTCCAAAGCGATTGCCCTCCCTGCATGTAAATGTAAAAGCCGGTTGAATTTTCGTGTCCGAGATCAGTTCGAAATCAACATTTTAAAATTGCAGCTCATGAAACACGACTTATTTCATATGCATTTTAAAAAAATTGAACTTGAGCCTGCGATCATTTGAAAAGTAGCAATTTGTCAGCGGATACCTTCAAAATATTACTCGAACTCAGAGGTTCGATACCTGAGCCCGCGATACAGTCAGGCGATACTGTTCAGCAGAAACACTGTTTTGACGGCTGTCAATTAATCAAAACATGGATGTACAATATCAGGTTGCAGGCTCCCAAACTAGCTAGAAAGTGTGAGATTAAGCATTGGTATGCCTGTGGTGCGGACGGACGGAAGGTCGGGTGGTCGGGTGGTCTAGGATGGATAGATTTTCTATAAAGCTATGGGGCTTCGAATTGAGCCCTTGATCAAATAAAATATCAGCGCAAAACTTTAAACACTACGTGACCTCAATGGATAGAAAAATGAGCCCGTGATCCACTCAGGTAATGATGGTCAGCGTATACACGAGTTTGACAGCTGTCAATTAACCTTCATTAGAATGGCGAATATTCGAATTAACAGACTACGAGTGTGAGTAGGACGTTTCCGTCCGGCATGTAGTGGAAAATGCCAGATCGTGTACCTGAGCGAACCCCTCGACTTGACCAATGCTTCAGAAACTCCGTTTTGCCATGGTGGATCAGCTGGCACAAAATCCCATTTGCATCCTTCCATCACGCCAAATGTTTTGAGTTCCAACCCTTAACTACATTTTTTAGTTCTTCGTTTGCGGCGACCAGTTGAGGACCATTGTCTGAATAAAGGTTGGAGGGAAAACCTCTAATTGATACGAATCTTCTGAGGACCATGAGAAATTTTTTAGTGCTGTAATCCGCGGCTAGATCTACGTGAACGGCACGGGTAGCCAAGCAGTTAAATATCACACCATATGTCTTCCTAAAAGTTCTTTTCTTCACCTCGTCTTTAATTTTGAAAAGACCAAAGAGATCAATAGCTGTGCAGCTCCATGCAGGTGATGGCTTCAGTCTTTCCACCAGTAACTTTCCCATAATCTGTTCGCTTAATCTCTTGTCTAATTTCTTGCATATCACGCAGTTGTATCGCATGGATTTCACCATTTTCAATAGTTTAATTATCCAGAACTTCGTGCGTATTTTACTGGATGTGGAGAGTACACCGAGATGTCCTTGTCTGTGAATATGTTCAGCATAGAGACGGGAAAATCTATGGTCATAGGGCAACAGGATTACTTCATTTTTATTGTGACTCATCTCACTCCATCTTTCACCTCGTCCTCCAACCACGTATATTCCTTGCTCATTTTTTCTTGGGCATAGACGTTTGTATTTCCCTTTTTTAATGTCTGCGCACATATTTCTTTGTGCTTCCATAATCCAGAAATGTTCCGCCTTTGTTATATCAAGAGGGATGAGTGGTTTTCCTGCGTTTTTGAATGAAGGTTTTGGTGTTCTTTGGTACAGTAATAATACACGGGCTGTCACTCTTAATAGTTTGTCAAAATTTGAGTATCTTTCTATGTTAAGTCTCGAGGCAAGTGTGTCTGTATTATTAATTTGGCAGGTCTGCGTTGTATTGTACGCTACTTTGACTTGGTCAGGAAGTTGTTCTTTGGTCAAAGCTTTGTTAATTGGCCATTCACTTTCGGGTAATTCAAGAAAATCGGGTCCCCTTTGCCAAATACTTTCTGAGTTTAGGTCATTTGGTTTTTTGCCGCGAGTTAGCCAGTCTGCAATGTTGTTTTTGCTTTCTATCAAATACAAATCATCAGGGTTGGTGTTCTGTTGTATCTCCCCTACTCGGGTTGCTGCAAAGGTATTAAATCCATATGATTCCTTTTGAATCATGTTGTGTACTATTTGAGAGTCCACGATGTGATAACACTTCTGAAGCTTATATCTGCAATGTTGTTCTAGAAATGCTTTCAGTCTTGAGTTTAATACAGCTCCACAGAGTTCGATTCTGTCAATTGATAATCTTTTTACTGCCGCGAGTCGGTTTTTTGATAGTATAAGTCTGCATTTGAATTGTCCGTTGTTGAGCTTCCATCTGTAGTGTGGACATGCCCCATATGCATGGCTGGATCCGTTGCTAAAGATAATTAATATTGAATCATCTATCGCATTCTCTGGCATTAAACATCTTTTGAATTTAACGTCGTTCATCTCCAGTAGATCTTGGCAGAATTGTTTCCAGTCTCGAGTGTACTTGTCCGGAATAGGGTCGTCCCAGTTTAGCTTCTCTTCCATTCCCTATAACTGTCTCAGTAGAATCTTTGCTCTGACTGTGAAAGGTCCAGCTAATCCGAGAGGATCATAAATGCTGTTTACTTGGGATAAAATTATTCTTTTGGTAGGATTATCTGCATCGATTTCTCCCAGCTTATTTGCATTTAATTGGATACGGGACTTCTTCTTTCCCTTAGCAGTGGTTCTTAACTGAACTTTATACTCGAAATCGCCTTTAATGGGGTTCCAAACAACTCCTAACACTTTTTCTGTTTGTGATGACACGTCAGTAGGTATTGTCAAGGTCTTCCAGGGCTCTTTACTATCATGGGTGAAGATCCACTCTTTCA